GATAATTTCAAAGAAAGTTTTTAATAGTTAACTATAGCTTAATGGTTATACATTTGGACATTTTTTTTTTTTTTTTTTTTTAACTCATACATACATATGTTTAAATACATCTTATATGTGTCTGTATGTACATATACAGTATCGGTCATATCTATAGCACGTCATTTCAAAGTGACATTGTGTGCCACTTATGCTTATTTATTTATTTTTAAGAATTTTCAATTAAAATACAGTTCTTTCTCTAACAAACCCCATATAAACCCAAGTTTAACAATTTGTAGAAAACTTCAAAAAATGGCAACAAATTTTCACCTAAGTTTTAAACTTTTTTCTCGGAAGTGTTAGAATTTTTTTGAGTACACAGTTTTTTAGCCACTGCAATTTTAGTCTGATAATATGCAAATTTCAAGTGGCTACGAATTACCGTTAATTTTTTAGAATTTTTTTTGTCGCATTGGCTTTCATATAATGAATAAACTCAATTTATTTGTATATGGATGAAAACCGCAACACCTTTAGCGAAAAAAATTCTAAAAAATCAACGGTAACTTTCAGTCACTTGAAACTTGCACATTATCAGATTAAAATTTATTGGGCTATAAAACTGTGTATTCAGAAAAATTCAAACACTTCCGAGAAAAAAGTTTGAAATTTAGGGGAAAATTTGTTGCACTTTTTTGAAGGTTTCTACAAATTGTTAAACTTGGATTTATATGGGGTTTGTTAGAGAAAGAACTGTATTTTAATTTAAAATTCTCAAAAATAAATAAATAAACATAAGTTGCACACAATATCAATTTGAAATGGCTTGCTATAGATATGACCGATACTGTACATATATTTTTCCACTTTGCCTGCTAGCGACTTCTTCGAAATTGTATATTTTCGATAGTTAACACATTGTTTTTATCTATACTCTGAAAAGCATAAAATATAGCAAAAGAAAATTGCAAAAATTAACTCATCAATAAGTATGTGCATACATGTGACAATGCTAAGCAATGGACGGTTTTTCATCGTGTGATTCATATAATTAATTATTGTTGTTGCATTAAA